CTGACAGACAATAACTGATCGATAAGCATTAGTAATTGATGGAGTCTATGAAAGCACTTAAAGAAATAAATTCTACCAGAATTCTTAGATTTATCAAGACTACGTAATGTTTTACCTATTCAGACTCTAAGAATGGTTGGGCATGGGGGCTTACAACTGTAATCCCAGCACTTTGGGAGGTAAAGGTGAGAGCATCACTTGAGGCCAGGAGTTCAAGACCAGCCTGAGTAACATAGCCAGATTCCATCTCTACAAAAAAATGGAAAAGTTAGGTTGTGGTGGTCCATACCTGTAGTCCCAGCTACTCAGGAGACTGAGGTAGGAGGATCACTTGAGCCAGGAGTTTGAGGCTGCAGTGAGCTATGAACATGCCACTGTACTCCAGCCCTGACAACAGAGCAAGACTCCCTCTCTATTAAAAAAGAAAAAAGACTCTAAGAACTTATACACTCTTATCAAAGTTTAGGGCTTGTTTATGGATATTACCCTGACTTACTAAGCTTAAAAGGGTGGGGTTGGCAACCAGAAAGCACAAAATGTTGATACTAAATTCTTTAAAAGTATAATGGGCTAGAAAGATTTTAAACACAGTCCCTCCTACACAGACAAAACACTGGATACAGGTTTTATTAAGGAGGAAACTCTCTTTGTCTCATTGGACATATGTTCTCTTTGTACATAACAGAGGACTTCCTTGTGCTAGTTTAAAAAAAATTGTTTTGTTCATTTCACATTTTTTTCCCAAACAGAAATACTATTTGTGTGTCTCAGTAAAATAGAAAAGTAATTTTGCTTTGATTATTCTTTCCTACACCCAGTGATAGCTTATTGCCCTCTTCTTATCAATTACCATCTGTAGAAAAACCATAATTCTGCTAAAGTTAATTCCAATTTGACTTGAGTTTCTTTCAGTCTGAGTTTCCTGTTTGGGAATCCAATCTTCAAACAACATTGGTTGAAACTGGTACAATGATTCACGTTTGTTCAACTTGATCTTATTCTCTAGATCGTGGTCTTGCTATATCACATTAAATCTTTTGTGCTTTCATTGAAATAAAGACAATGGTCTTAGAAGGTAACTTTCAACTCTGGTACCCCTTCCTCCTCCAATATATACAAAAAATTAAGGTTTTCATGGTCAAATGTGTATCACCAGGAAATTTCCATATCTATCGAATGTACAGTTGTTCGGAACTCATGATAAGCCAAAGGATTGGCTTTGAAATGTTTTTCATGCAGTTATTTTTTTTCCCATAGTGACTTGGATATGCCATTTGCCAAGTGGACCAAGGAGCAAGTGTGCAGTTGGCTCGTGGAACAGGGCTTGGGCTTCTACCTGGATTCTGGCAAGCACTGGATAACATCTGGCCAAATATTTTTGCAAGCTTCTCAACGAGATCTAGAGAAAGTGACTGCTTCTCTATTTTGTTTACAAGATGGATACTGAGGGAAAAAGAATATGAATGTAGGATCATTTTATACTCCAGAAAGGGATGTGGGTGAAGCCAGTGAGTACTCTTGAAAAAGTTTGGGTTTTCAACTGCTTCATGCTTATGTTACCTAAAGCTCAGCACTTGTCCTCGAGGCCATCAGAAGAAAGAGAACAAATGGTTTGAGAAGAAGGAAAGAGAAGTTTATTATTTTGCCAGCAAAGGAGGAAAAATGATAGACCATCTGTCTCAAAATCCAAATTTCCTGAACATAAGCAGAAGTACAGAGCTTTTAAAGGAAGAGCCCCTCAGTTCTAGGCCATTGTGGTTAACTATTCTAATCATCCCATCTCTGCCAAAGACAAAGCCTGTGACCTCTGCCAACAGCCCACCTGGGAGGGTGACACCAGGGCCTGAGATGGCTGATTCCCCAGGCTACTCCTGACCACCTGCCTGAGGCAGGGATGCAGGCTTCAGTTCTCAAAAAGAGTGGGGAAGTTTTAAAGAGACAGAACATCCTTTTGCCATTTTTTTCAGGCCATTCCCTCTGTTACACTTATTTCGTATCATGGACTTAAAAGGAAGGACCTGGTCTTGATTCTTTACGAAACACTTAAGCTGCTGCGCATTTTAATGAAAAATAATTATGCAGCTATAATAATAAGCCTTAAGCTTGTATTTCTCAAAATCATTTTCTGCATTTATCAGTAGCCTATCTTCTTAATGGAATATACCCAATTCAACTTCAGTTTACAAAAAGAACAAAAAGTGCCCTACTTTTTATGTCCGATTATTTAACATTTATTCCCAATTATTTAACATTTTGTACAAAATAAGAGTTAAATTCTTATTATGCATGCTACAGTTCCTATCTTACAAAGAAAATGAGTCACTAGGGAATGCCTACCACAACACTAAACTAACTGTGGTAGTCTTTGCTTTATAGGGGCCTGTTAGTTCAACAACATTTTACTAGCCCAAGTCACTATTCTAAGTTAATGAAGAAGTGGGTCTTTAATGCTGGCCTTATTTTGGAATAATTTGCATCCTTTGTCAGTGGCATCCAGCCTATCTAGATAGCATTATAAAGTCAGTGTTTCTGTCCATTGTTTCAGAAACTTGGAATCAAGCTCCACTTCATCAAAAGAAACTCCAGGTGGCACTGCAAGCCCTGGGATCTGAAGAAGAAACCAATCATGAGAGGCTAGATCTCACTGGGTTCCTAGTAAGAGGTTTTATTCTTTTAAAAAAATAATACTATAGATAGCTGTATCTTCTTTTAAATCGTAAGAACAGGTTTTTTGTGGCATGGTAACTACACTGGTTTCTCTCTTTTAGGATGGCTGGATGATATTGGCCTCCCCCAATATAAGATTCAGCTTTATGAAGGACGGGTAGATGGTCGAATGCTATTAATACATTACATGACTATTATAAGTGATTCCCTTGTG